TTCCACCGTGAGGAACATAGGAAGGAAATGGAAGACCACAGGGACGGTTCAAGTTAAATATCAGAGAGGCAGAGAAGACGAATGCTGAGAATGGTCAAGGACAACCCACAGACCACCTTTCAAAGACCTGCAGCATGATCTTGCTGCAGATGGTGTCCCTGTGCATCGTTCAACTATAAAAAAGGCGTTATACAAGGCATTCCAAGAAAAACACTTGCTACCTACTGTAGTTGGTGGAGGTTCCATCATGCTTTGGGGCTGCGCTTCCAATGCTGGCACTGGGAATCATGTTAAAGTTGAGGGTCACATGGATTCCACTCAGTATCAGCAGATTCTTGAGAATAATCAGGAAAAATCAGTTACGAAGTTGAAGTTACACCGGAGATGGATATTTTAGCAAGACAATGATCCAGTCCCCAGACCTGAATATCATTGAACATCTGTGGAATGATTTGAAGCAGGCTGTCCGTGCTCGGCCACCATCAAACTTAACGGAACTGGAATAGTTTTGCAAAGAAGAATGGTCAAAAATCCCTTCATCCAGGAACTCATTCGAAGCTACAGGAAGCGACTAGAGGCTGTTGTTTTTGCAAAAGGATGATCAGTTATTAGATATATCAAACTGAAATAGCTTTTGCAAACACTCAAATATTTAGAAATATTCAAAGTATCTTGAATCCTGGAATGAAGTGATTAAAGTGAGAGAACACGTTAAGAGAACAATATGCGAGTGCAAAATGTTCATTTAAAAAAGGAAGCCAACTGTGTTTGCCAGCGGCAGCACAACATGGTTTAATCCACTGAGTTTAGAGGCCTTTTATGTCTGAGTGACTCAGAGTGATTAAAAAAAGAAAATACTGCATATATAACGAGTGAAAAGCAGCTAAAGTGAAAATAAGACTCTAAATGACCTTCAGAATGCCAGAAGCACTAATGGTGAATCCTGCTTCAAAAGGCTGGGAAGGTCTGGGGGCTCGGATGCAGTCCTGCTTTTTTTTCTTTACAATGCAAAGAAAGAAAAATGTGTTTGCAATTGATCTGTCATGGTTTTCTCTCCTCTGGAAGGTATTGATTGAGGGTTTATGATCCTGAAATGAAAAGTTATTGATCTGCACACACACACAAGGGAAACGGTGAGTGTTGCAATCAGGCTGCATCACTGAGCTCTCTGCTGCAGACTGCAGCGCAGCAGCAACACATGTAATCAGCTGCTCCTCCCGTTTCTGGACAGGGAAGCCATCGGTTCGATTCCTCGGAGTGATCAGTGGCAGATTTACTGACTAACTGATTGTTTTTTTTAAACTTCAACAGTTACATGTCTTTGCTTTTTATGTATCCACAGCCTGCAAAGGGCTGACTCAGCATGACAGCTTTAAGCCCCGCCCACCGAGTCCCACCTTTGCTCCATTCTCTGGTCTTGACCAATCAGAGGGCAGCACCCACAGAGGGTGGCGTAACAGAGGCAGAAAGATGGTAAGCTGATGTGAAGAGGTGCTTTTTGTGTTTGTATCTAATGAATACTAATGAGCCTGAATTGACTGCAGGGAAAAAAACCTAAATGGGGCATAAATGATGAGTCTCTGCAATCCTACAGGGATTATTTTACATGAAGCCAAAACACACAACAACACAACTTCTCATCAATTATTCAACCAGAGTATTTAGGTTCTCCTCTGCAGCTAATATTGCATATAATTAAGCTTTTTGCAGGAAAACTAATGGGCTTTTATTGACAAAGATGAGCTTTAAATTTCCCATTAACAGATTTTAAGCCAGCAACCAGCCTGGTTATTAGACATCATTTCATTTCATAGGTTGTAAAGCTTTCAGCTTCGATTACCTCTCGTTTAATCAGCAGTTAGGAGTATGGACATGATAATATAAGAGTAAACCCCACAGTGATTGACAAAGCACAGAAATTATGGCGCCATCTTGGGGAGGTCGACCCGCTACCTTAGGACTGTGCTGCATTTTACTGTTTGTATGTGTTTGTCAAGGTGAGATATATATATATATATATCAGAATCAAAAATACTTTAATAATCCCAGAGGGAAATTACTTTTGTTACACGCTCCAGTTACAGTTTTATATGATATATACACACATCCAACTATACAATATAATAAAGATAAAGAATAAGAATAAAAAGAGATAAAATATATACACATATAGCTCTTCTGTATATAT